GTTTAAACAACTCCCACGAAGAACTTTCAGAGGGATTCTCCAGGGGGGACATAGTTAATTCGAAACACTGAAAATCGAGGAAAGAACTTTAGATTGGTTCTCTATAGAACCAGTGTTAATTTTCAACACTTAAACATGCAGGAGAGAACCTTTAGAGGGTTCTTTGTAGATTCTATATAGCCCCGTTGATCATTTACACCCTTAAAAGTGCTTTAAGGACCTTGTAGAAGGGTTCTCTGTATCAAAGTGCTTGTTTTAAACTCTTGAAAGTGCAGCACAGAACCTTTAGAAAGGTTCTGTGCTCCATAACAGCATGGACATTTCAATCCATTAAAAGTGCTATAAAGAACTTTTAGAAGGGTTCTCTAAAGTGTCCTGGGGATATATATTGTTTGAGACCCTTTGCTGTGCCATAAAGATCCCTCTGCTCTCAGCCACGCTGGCCTCCTCACTGTGATTTTTACCAGTTTGTGATTTTTAGCTTTAACAAGCCAGACGGAGTGTTAACTGCCCCGTACAGAACCACAGGCTTGAGCAGGGACCCACGGCAGAACCCAGCCAGAACCGCGGTTTCAGTGTATGTGTGCGTATGTGTGTGTGTGGCACTACCTGCATTAATCATAATCAGGACGTAGAGCGCTCTCACGCAATGTTTCCACGAGGGAGGAGGGAGGGAGGGAGGATGGCGTAATCTGAGACTCGCTCTGTTTTTTCTCCTCCTCCGACTGCCACAACATACTTTTTTCCTGTCTTTTTCCTTCTCTCTCTATGTGTTTTAGGGGAGTTTGTTTTTTCCCTCCCTCCCTCCACTCAAATTAACATAGTTCAGTGTCACGCAAAGGGTTACGTAAGTCTGCCATGTTCAGTTTTTAGGAAAAGTTTGTCTTTCTTTTCTTTTTTCTTTCAGGAAACAGTGTTGAGTGAGGGAGTTGTGAGTGTGAGAGTCAGTTAAGCCCACAGAGAGGTCTGGAGGCGGCGTTACAGCCGCCTGCCCTGCGGCAGTGCACCTTTATGTTTACACTGTATTGTACAAGGGAAGCATTTAAATTTATGGTAATGTCCATGTGTGACAGAGACAAAGAGACGGCAGATGGATTGTACAAAGTTGTAAAACAATAACGAGAAGGTTGAATTGCACAACGAGTAGCCAGAAGTATTTGGACATCTGCATGAGAAATGCTTGCAGGCGTTCTTGACGTATCAGCCTCCACATTTTGGACCCGGCTGCAGAAACTTGCAGTGATGTTAGGAAACGAGGGCCTGCCCCATTTTGGGGTTAAACTCCGTCCCAGAGGTGTTGGAGGAGGCTACTTGACTCCTTCCCACAGATGTTTTATAGCAGCTGGATACTGGACTTCAAAGTGGTGCCAATTCAGTTGAATAACGGTTACTTTTTAGGTGCGTCAAAGCAAAAAAAAAAACCCCAAACTTTCCTGGACTTTACAAATTGCCTTGTGAATGTAAAACTAAGGCATTCCAAATTCAGCATAATAACTTCACTTGGGAATTTCTTTCATTGCAGTACCGCTGGCTGCCACTGGAACATACTAGTGTCACATCCGGCTCTCTCCCTCCAGGACGGGAAAACACCAAAGCATTCTTGAGGGGTTCTCCAATGAACGATGACCCATTTTAAACTCTTTAAAGAGCAATGAAGAACCTTCAAGAGGTTCTCTGTAGCACCGTGGGTCATTAAAAACCTTTAAAAAGGTTTTTTCTGTAGCATTTCAGTCCCTTAATACCCTGAAATATCCAGTAAAGAACCTATTATTTATGGCATGGTAATGTTATTCTCATAGTAGTACAATAATGAAACTTTAGGAGGTAGCACCATGGTTCAATTTAAACCCTTAAAAATCCTTTAGATTGGTTCTCTATAGCACCACTGTTGATTTTAGATTGTCAAAAGTGCACTAAGATAATTAAGACCGGTCCTCTTTAGCACCGTGGTTCCTTTTAAACCC